TAAAAACCTCGCGATTGCTGAGCAAGAAAACGACACATTCATATTCCAATGCCGAGGTTAAGAGAAAGTCGATCTTGGGATCTAACTAACATGCCCCATCTCCTAGTAGAGTACACTAATTGAGATAAAAACTAGTAGAATCCATGGATCTTTGTCAAGCAAACTTCCTCACTATACCCGGATGAAATTCTTATTTTCTAGAGCACATGAAACGCTTTTTTCTAGCCTTTCTACATTAACACTCGTGTAGTAAACACCAAAGCAATTGATGCTTCTGATGCTTCTCAAGCTATCAATGTGGCGTTTGTGGATGTTTACGTTGGAAATTTTAAAAATGTGAATCTTGTTGGAAACACGGGTAGTGGATAAATTTGAAATTGAAACGCCTTATAGAAACTGTATATAAATCAACGAAGATTTAGCAAGATTTGTTTATAAACTTGTGGAATCCACATCTCTGCTACTCCTACTGATCGAAAAATTACAGTCAATTGTCGGAAAATCGGCTTCGTCGCCAATACATTAAAGCAGTGTTACACAACGCACCTTTTTATTCCGATGAAGTCCATCTTAAACAAAGTTTGCTCATCGCTACATAGAGCTTCCATTTTGTTGAAGTCCATTTCAACTGCTCCTAAAGAACCGAGAAAATGTCACGGAGAGACCAATTTTTCGATCGTTTGCTCTGTAGCAAACGATACCTATAACTTCCAGAATAGGTCCGAACAAAATCTTCAAGAAATCTAGCAATTCATCTGGTCGACATCCACCAAGATAGCGAAATATAGCCGCACGACGTGATTCAACCACGTTACGTTTCGTATGTGCCCAGAGCTTCCCGTAAAGTAGCCTAAAACAACGCATACGTTGAAATAAGTTCGGGATTACTACCCAAAGTAGAACAACTTAAGGTTATTATCACCTGAGAAGTATGTACATAACAGCACGTCTATGATCTAAATGAATGATAGAATTTCCCTCATTTTCGTTTATGGAAAACAGGACCAGTTGTTCGCGGAAAAGTTTTTCATTGAGTAGGCGTTCAAAATTTTCTCTGAATTAGCTTGCAAATATCGCATAAAAGAAGAATAACAAAAGCAAGTTTGATAACCTACTGATAGGGTAGCAAAGCCTTGTCTTTGTATGAAAATATGCACGCCATAACCGACTTTTGGACCATATCATTTCCTGATATCAAAAGCTGAAAACGAACCAATCAGACTTGGAAAAGTGGTATAGAAAAAATAACGGATAGGTAGAAACTAACATGATTGTACATGTCACGTATTTTGGGCTCCAAATACACAGATTTAGCATCTGTAAATTTAGCGTAGATATCAAGGAATGCACACAAAGTCTGAAATAAGGATGAGTGAGTTCTTAAACAGACGTAGTAGTTGAAGTCAGACAACCACTAAAAACCTTCGTTACGGTTAAGTATTGATCACGTTTCTCTGAATACTCGTTTTTCTGAGAGTCAGTTCCTAAAATGCTCGTTTCTGGTAGGCGTTGCTGCCACGAAGTTATGCGCTCAGTGATAAATGGAAGATATTCAATCCTAAATTAGTGTAAACATAAAAAACAAGACGAGGAAAGAAATAAACGAACTAACTCGTAGATTCCTAGAAGGATTGGAGATAAAATTCTTGTTCTTCTTTGTCCTAGGTCCCAAACGCTGTCAATGAATTTTAAAACCTAAACAAAGTCGGCTATGAAGCACCCTGAAGAAACACTTCGACCAAGCCATGGGTTCGAAATTCAGCCGAAAAACTCACCTGAGTGCGCACGGAATAGTAGTCTGCTCTATCGTTCTTGTCACACAAGGGCAAAATAGATGCCGCACTAGGCGATGGATATTGATCTCGACATCCTTAACAAAACACATAAAGAAGGATACCTTCTCTATTTTTTGTCCGCTATAAATTCGAAGTAATACCTGCATTGACTTGATTAAATACTTCCGTTATAACCGACCAGAATTCATCAATATCCATGCCTCGAGCAAAAGACTCCAAAAATCCATACATTGATGACCAAAGTTTGGTGAAAGGTACAAAAAACTGGGCAAGAGCAACTCTTAAAATCACCTAAAACGTTAGCTTAATTCTATTTGTCACATTCAACTAGGAAAATATATTCCATGTTACAATTTGTCAAGAGCAAAAATTTTCTGAACGTTATAAATATGCCTACATGATCAAAAGTTGTTCCACTTGTTTCTGGTAAGAATCGCCTGTGTGAGGCGAAAGTGAGCCTAGTGAAATGAAGGAGACGAGCTCTGGAGTTAATAATATCACAGCACTCGGCAGCAAGTAAGATACCGAAAGCGTTGTCTTGCTCGCTCTAGAGAAATAGATCAACCATCGCCACATTGAACATTTTTATCGTATTAAACTAACCAATACCTCAATTCTCCTGTTTATTTCGGCTCCCTCCACAACGATCTTGAACGAGCTTAAAATTTCTAGCGCAGTTTTCCTAACAGATGAATTGGGATGGAAGTAACAAGGTAGTAAAACGTCACAAACTCTAGAAAAAGAAAAAACGTTGAAAGAACGCCTTCCTGCCAGCACAATAAAAACTAAACTTATCCAACTTTTTTAATGTGATGATCGTTGATAAATCCTCGTTGGCCACCAAACAATAATGGTACAGTCTAAGGGAAGATTCGCAACAACTCATACCCCTTGAATCGCGATGCGTGAACAATATGCAATAACAATAGAAATGAAACAATAGAACAATAAAACAAATAAACCCCATTGGAAAAATAAACAAAACACTACACCTTACAAATTCCTCCACTTGACAAATGTCAATTTCTCCAAGACGAGATTGGTCTACTCTGAACAATGATGAAACAGCAATAAGTGCAGTTTGCGAGGTTTCTAAGGAATAATCTTTTCCACGAATAAGATTCTTAAGGTATTCGATGACATTATTAACATCTGAAAGAAAAAAACTAAAACAGCAAAACAAATTATAGATTGTGAAAACTTCATAGTAAACAGTTCATGCTTCGAAATGTTTGAGTTCAATTTGACCATTCAGAAACTACGGCACTAATCCCAGCTCTTTCTTGAATCATTTCAGGAAATTTAAATGCCCCTTCCATACAGGACACATAATAGATAGGCAAATCAAACGGTTACCCCTTCTCATTACTTCACAACACATTATAAATAACAAAAGGAACTTCCAAAACGAACGCGCAATTGCCCTTTGCGAAGGATAACGACACCATGCAGGTCCTTCGTTTCGTTTCCAGGTCAAAACAGGCGAAACGAACGACCCACATGTGGTGTTCTGATGAGCGCGTTAACCCCCGGAAAGAGCACGTTCGTTCCCCACAGCAAACACCTGCGGTCCAAGGTTTTGGAAATATTTCAGCATCATTGTGGTTGTATTTCACACAATACCCTGCCGTGAAAAGTTGTAGAAGACAGCAAATAAAAAGTTAAAATTGTGATTATGAACTTTGAAAGTTTTTTTCTCTTCAGTTACTACACAATAGATACCTTCAACACTGTCATCGTTCTTGCGAATCCAAGGCCAAATTACCAACATAGAAGAAACTACAGATTTCTCAATAGAACAGAGGAGGCGAATATGTTGGATGATATGCTGTCTGACTGGCATGTGTATTGAAAGATCAAGCACTTGTGATACATCTGAAATGCAAACGGAAAAACGTTGTTGCTACAGGGAAATTCTACGAAACATCACCGAATGGAATATGACCGAAAATGATCAGACAGCGTACAGAAATTCCAAAATTCATAAACGTTTTGACTGCTGAACTTGAATATACGAAAAGTGAAAAAGTAGTAGAAGAAAGACAGAAACACACCTCCGCAAACAATATCCTTCAAGGGTCGTTTGTTCAAACAAACAGTTGAATAGAGATTTAGAAGATGTTCTACAAAACCATGCTCCTAAAAGTACCTGCAGTTTTGTCAAAAATTCTTGCTAATTAAGAGAGATACTCGATGACATTATGAAGAATTTCAACTAATCATTAACACTCTGCATCAACACCGACAACATAATGTTAACTTTTTTTAACTGCCTACTACAATTTTCACGTCCGGATACTATGCTAAATTAACCAAAATCATCCTGATTTGACCTCCTCAGATCAATCCCGCCAACGAGTTACTGTTGATGGCATTGGTAGGTATAAAACTAGCTGAGAAAAGGCAAAACGAAGAACGCACGTGGTGTGATGTAAACGCATTAGTCTGCGGAAAGGGTAATAGCGTGTTCGATCCCTATTACAGATACCTGCCGACCGGTAACATAATCTTCACAAAGTAGCTACTAACTTCTAATTACTAACAAAATAAAAAATAAGACCTTCTCAAACACAACAGCAGAGAACTTCCCGACGACGGGCATTAGGTGTTCATCGAAATAGACGAGGTTTATTGCGTTGTTGAAGAAATTGAACACCTATGAGGAAAATGGCAACACTTAAAAATGGGAAAAGATCCTTTTAAAAGAGAAAAGTACATACTGCTGAAAGATCTCCTGTCTTGAAAACTAAAGTAGAACACATGCAGCCAATCGAATGACCCCATTCAGATGAAGGAAACACCTTCAGTACACACTAGAACACGGAATGCAAAATATTGCACAGCTGTAACAAAACAATACAAAATGATTTACCTCCGATAGAAATTCGATGAACACTGAATTAATTTCGAAGAAGGATGAAGACAATAGTTTTGTGATCACTGACAGGAGCTTAGTGTTGGAAGAAAACATGTTCACCCATTTACGTTGCACAAAACATAAACGCAAAAGACGAGCCATGCAATTAACAAGCTCCATTGAGTTGAGATCTTCTAGCATGTTCTGGAAAGCGAAACCAAAAAGCAAGCAATAGAAAAGGAAAGAAAAAATTGCTTGCACAGCACTTACAAGAAGGGCAACTTCCAAAGGTGATAGATCTGCTTCCACGCCCTTGCGGACGTACTGAACAAGCAGTTGTACAAACATCTCAAGAATCGTTACACCATACTCCCGAACATCCGCGTTTGGCAAGTGCAATATGCCCGAGATTATAGAACAGATTTTCTGGAAAAAGCGAACTGCTGAGATGTCTTTCGAATAAAAATTTTGCAAAAAAGTAGGTAATGAAATAGCATAATAGGTTAGAACACCTACAGCTGTGGTGAGCATTGACAAGGCTTCAAGATCAAATTTCTTCCTACTCAGTTGTAACTATCTTAGTAAAAATATTGTACTTACTTCATTGGCAGTGCTATGAAAAGCTCCAGCGACACCTCTAGGTACGTGAAAAAATAGCTCAGCACAACCTTCTGTCAAGCGATCATCTTGCACCCTGTATGCTTGTTCTACTACTTGCCCTGATATCTAAAAAATAAAAACAAAAGTTTGAGAAATTTGACTGGCATGTAAACATTAGAGCTCTCACCTTCATCAGATTCTTCGACTTCCTAATGATAAAAGAAAAACATTCAGCAGCAAACCGACGAGCATATGAGCGGCTACTTCCGAGAAGCGGTATAAAACGACTGCGAAAAAACGACCAAAGAGAATGCGTTTCTGGCTCGAAGCACAACCAATTTATTATATAGTGTATTATATTCTACTTGATACTTGAATAGCCCGTCCTCGCTGGTTGGGTTGGCCCCAGCATAATCACTATTTTTCGGATTTGCTGGCTAAGCCATTGCGGTTCCCTGGAACCCCGAGGTCAACCTGGCCAAACTGTCCCAGGTCTTCACCAACACCAGCAGTCGTAGCCCTTGTGGATCAGAGGGAGATTTGCCACTATGCAACTTTGATACCAGGAGGATGGTGGATCCTGGTATTGGTTTACTCCTAGCTAAACTTCCTAATGGAAACGCCGAACTCCTTCTCAGCTCATGAGACTTGCCAGAAGACGAATCCCCGCTGTACATCGCAATCCCACACCTAGGAACACCTCCCAGCCACGACGAGGCGGTAAACCGTTGGGAGGCATTATATTTTTACATTACCTATTATCTAAAAAATGTTAATAAACAGTAATGCTGAAATACACTACATTCTTTTCCATGTAAATATAAAAGTCCAAAACTAGAAAAAAAGGTGACGAAACGAAGGAAAATTAGGAAAATCACAAGGATAATACCGCTTCATATAATACCTAGAGGTATACCTAGAGGCTTCATATAAACTTTAACTTTCTCTATAATGAATGAGCAGACTCTTAAAACTTACACAATGCAAGAGTTCAGATCCTTGATTAGTGTCTTCCACATCAGTCTTACAATAAGAGACAAGGAGTAGAATGCTACTTCAACAGATTGAACATCTCGTTCACCAAAATCTAAGCATTGATATATTATTGACTTTCAATGAGTACGAGACGTTTTCTGGATTTGTTATCCGGGAAAAAGGCTGCACAAGAAACGGTATGCACCAGTAACGAAAAGGTTACAATGGACAGGCTTCACTTACCTAGCACGTTTATTAAAGCTTCCAAGACATTCCAAATGTCTTCGCGACAATCATCTTTTAAGTCTCGAATGAGTGCAGTTAAGAGTTCACAAAAGGGTTCTGTCGACTTGCACTCCTAACGAAAAAGATTTTAATATCACAGTAAATTATCCTGAACATCAAGTAACAAATAGAGGAAACGAACCGGATCGTGTAAGTTCTTCAATAATAACTCCATAATACGCTTTTTATGATGAAGCAACTGCGCTATCGTATGCAGCTCATCACATGGAATGCTGTCAACGAAAGTAGCTGAAATTTAATACTGTGTTCGTGCACGAATGTGCTCGAAAGGGCGACAATTGGTCGCCGAAAGTATTTATTGACATACTTTGGCGGTTAAAGTTACTCGAAACAGAAGACCGCACGCATTGACGGCAAATTCCTTTCAAATCTTTGCTTTGTTAGCGACAGTTATCATTCCCAGGAGTACCAGTGAAGCAGAGACGGTACTCAGCAGGGTCAACGAAGTGAGAAAAGTACGGGATTGGGCACAAGTGGAAAAAACCTAATTATTTCAAAAAAGCACGGGTGGTACCATTTAATACCTGTTGCCTTAAGTGTTCAATAAACATAGAGAATAACACGGAGGAAAACCTCCACAGAAGGAAAGCAGTATGGGCCATGTTTGGGCCACTCAAAAAAAACCAAAGATACTACAGATCAACTAACAAGCTAACTTCCGCGCTTAACTTTATCCGAACAACGTTCCTAACTCAGTGCTTACTCTGCCATAGGTTGAATCTGTAGGTTGCAGCTATAACCACTTCGAGAACTATCCGCATCAACCACAGAACGCACCGACGATGGCTTCAGAAATATGACCGACACATTCAATGTCTAGCTGGAAAGCACAGCTTAGACCTTCGAAATCCATTCCATTTTTGAAAACCGAGAGAATGCTCATCGATAGACGAAACATAGATTGTCCACATGAGATAAAAAGAACAAGTGATAAATGGACGAAAACGGCTGTAGATTGGACTCCAAAAGGATCTTAGCGTTCTCTTAGACAATCATTTACACAAATGAGCGCAAGTGCTTGTAGCTAACGTGCTAACGTCACTCATCTGCACTCGCAGATGGAAATGATTTCTGATTCAGGGAATGGGCCCCGCGGATGTCACGATGTTCCTAACAGACTACCACCATGGAGATGAACGAGTACGAGAGAAAAACCGGATGGAAGATTGCTGAGACACGCACTACTGGTTAAAATGGACCATCAAAATATATATATGTACATATATACATATATACATATATGCATACATATATATCTGCACGGTATTGTGCATATATAATCCATACATATATTTGATACTTGAATAGTCCGTCCTCGCTGGTTGGGCTGGCCCCAGTACAATCACCATTTTTCGGAGATTTGCTGGCTAAGCCATTGTGGTTCCCTGGAATCCCTAAGTCAGTCTGGACAAAGTCTGCCCCACGTGGTCACCACCACATACAATCGCAGCCCATGTGAATCAGAGAGAGATTTGCCACCAGGCGACTTTGATACCAGGACGGTGGTGAATCCTGGTATTGGTCTACTCTTAGTTCTACTCTTAGCTAAGTGTCCTAATGGAAACGTCGGACTTCTTCCCAGCTTGGGAGATCCTGCCGGAGGGATGGATCTCCGGTTGTACATCGCAGCCCGACACCCAGAAACACCTCCCAGCCACGATGAGGCGGTAAACCGGTGGGGCATGCATATATATATATATATATATATATATATATATAAACACGTATGTATGTATATATAACATACGTACACGTACCTACATACGTAAACACGTATACGGACGTATATATACGGATATATACACGTATACGAATATGAGGCGTAGTAGCGTCGTGATAGCGACGCCGTTTAATATGCACAAGACCCTGGTTCGACCCTACCCCGGGCCACCGATCCTCCCATTCCCCTGGAATCGGGAAAACCGTACCAGACTTCGCTGGGATCATCGTTCTACCGCCAATCCATATGGAAATGCTCCACGACACTACCCCAGGTCTCCAGCGATAATCGACTCGACCGGTACTGAACAACATGCATCATAACGAGGATGAAGATCTTCAAGCAACAGCCCGATCTACACGCAAAGGGAAGATCTTCGCACCCAGTGGAACCGACGAAAGCAATAGAATGCAATAATTGATAAAGTCCGTATAAGTGATTTAAAAACGGGCCACATAAATAAAAAATACACGTGTTTTTTCTTAAGTAATAAGCATCAAAAAACTACTTACTGTACTGTACACCAAAATGTATATCGTTCCATTTCGTTAGCGTTTCCGTGAAAAATAGTGAGTCGTTCTCGTCGGATCGACACATTAACTTCCTACTGAACTTAGCACTATCCCCACCAATTTTCGCAACAGACTGATTGAAAGTGAGGTACTGAAAGCATATAACCAGTGTAACTAGAAATGAAACAAATGTGATGAAGAAAACGTAAATACCTTACCTTGAATCGCTGCCGTTTTGGAATAGGAACTTCACCTTCGACTTCCATGGCTCAAATTCAAGATCTGTGGAATATTCGAGCAGTATCTATATACATGTATATATATGTATATATATATATATCTACAAACATACGCCGAGAAATTCGAAATTCAACACATTCAGAAGCAAACCGAATAAACCTTCCAGACGAGCGCAAAAGTAAAAGGATATTAAAATATCAGAACATTAAGGAAGTACCTCCCACGTCCGACTTTCTATTAACCTGGAGAGGAGAATGGAAAACTGGAAGTGGAAGACTCATAGAAAGCGATGAGTGTGCAAAGACTCTGTGTTCAATGTAATTAAAATTTTGTTTCGGCATTTCCTCTGTTTGGTTATGGAGGTGTTTGGCCGCGTAGATTGCAGTCAACCTGACCTTTCCAGGCTCTGAAGGCGAAATCCGCCGGAACGACAGCTTGTACGTAAATAAAGAAATAAAATAACACCTCGTGTTTGCTCAACGGAAGTAGAAATAATTAAGGAAGTAATGGCAAATTTGTCAATCCATCTTCTGAGAATCACAAGTGGGTCAAAGAGTGAAATTTCATATTAAACTAGAAAAAAGCGCCTAGATAATGTTTTCGCAAACATAACCGAAATGCGTAACATCTAGCTTGACAACAAAGAACTGAGGTCGGAAAATAAACGAATCGATAGAGGACCATTAGGAAAGCGAAGTATTACAAATACGCAATCAGTATTCAGGATGTGTTCAAAAAAAGAATGAAGTACGACAGTTGACCTTGGATTTATAAAAAGAGGTCAAAGAATGAAGCTCTCGGCGCTGGTCAATACCCGAGGGTTGCGCCATGCATTCTACTTCATTGAGCACCGTTGGAGGTGATTGCATGCATACTTGGCAAATACAATGATTCACGGTGACCTATTGTATCGAACCAATCCTCGCAGATAAATCTGGTACCAATTTGCCGAGCACGGAGAGATGGAAGGCTTGGTGAGCCTTGGACGCCGAGATCGAATTCATGTACATTGCACAGCGTCCATAACCACCGAGCTACAGGCGCACCTTTGGGAGCAATTTCCGTAAGAATATTCCGATTATCGCACCTGGTCATTTTAATTAAAAAGTTGTTGTCTGCAGCCAAAGGACTTCTCAAACCATCATTGAGCTGTCAAAGCAACCGTTGTAGCATCCCCACAAACTATATCTACATTTTCGAAGGATTTTGATGTTACATTTTCTTCATGTTATACTCGCAACGTAAAACTCTAATAAAACCTGACGAGTCCATTACCACCAGAAGCGTTGTTCATTAAATAAAAAATTAGGAAAGACTGGGAAAAGATTTTTTACTGCTGAAAACCTACATATCTCCAACCGATGTCGCAGTTGTCCCAAAATTCAACACGGAGTCACACCACCGACTCTTTTGTGCAAAATTCCATTTCTCGTAGAAAGGAGAAAAAGCCGCTAAATTCAAAAACCAAAGGCATAGCACCCAGAGACATAACGCGGAGGACTTTGAAGTTCGTGTCACGATCCTCGCAAAGGAATCAAGAACGCAAGCGCTCAAAACTCTCGAGGCGTTCTGGATTAATTCTAGAAATCCGAAAATGAACCGCAGAGAAGAATGCCTCATTACCACGCGTGATATAGGGCAGTATTTATTATGATGGGAGGGGCACATTACGCTTCAAGGTGAATTCTGTGCGGTTGGTCTTCACACGACATACTCAGTGGAAGCCTCATAGAAAGCGGTGAGTGTGTGGAGCTGTGTTCAATATGATTGAAATCTTGGTTTAACGTTTTCTCTGCTTGCTTATGGAGGTGTATGGCCGAATAGATTGCTTTCAACTTGACCTTTCCAGGCTCTGAGGAAGACCAAATCCGCCGAAACGTCAGCTTGTACGTAAATAAAGAAATAAAATAGCACCTCGTGTTTGCTAAACAGAAGTACAAAGAATTATTCAAAACCCCAAGTCCCAGAACCACCACAAACTGGGACTTATTCAGTTCATTAGTCGGTTGCTGAGAAGATGCCGTTGTCGATAACATCGACGAAGAATACTATCGTCTCATTCAACATCTTCACGTCAGCGCTATAAAAGCTGAGAGTTCGAAAGTCACCAAGAGACGTATGTCTCCAGAAACACTCGAGCTGATACGCCGGCGTGGAATCGCACGAGCTGCAGGTAATCACGAACTAACGTCCCAGTTTGCAAAACAATGCAGACAGGCGATAAAAGAAGATCTTAAACAGAGAAGAGTTGCAGTAATGGCAGAAGCTGCAGAGTATGGGAAAAGCATTCGAGAACCCTACCAATGCTCCGCCGATTACATGACCAACATGGCTGCACTGCGGCGCCCAGACGTAACAGTCACAGCGTCCAGAAAGGCGATGGAGAAAATGACTTGCGAATAGCACTCGGTTCTCCTCGATAGCCACGTCCATCTTCCGTCATATGAAATTGAGGATGGATATGTTGCACCACCGTTTCTCCCTTCCGAAATCCGAGCAACACCAAGCCCGGACAGGATAAGATCAGAACACCTGAAGAACCTTTCACCAGTCCTCGTTAACACACAGGCTCGGCTCTTCACACGCTACTTGTCCGAACATAAAGTCCCTATTCAGTGGAAGACCAACAAGACCGTATTATTGTCCAATAAGAGTGATCTATACGAGATCGGAAACTATCGC